CCATTAATTAAAAAAAAAAAAAAACTGCCATTGAGTCCATCCCGACTCATAGCTATCCTACAGGATAGAGTGGAACTCCCCCTACAGGGTTTCCAAGGTTGTATAAATCTTTATGGAAGCACATTGCCCCATTTTTCTCCCAGAGAGGATGGTGGGATGAAACTGCTTGTTAGCAGCCCAATGTTTTAACCACTGTGAAAACTATGCTAAATTAATTCATCAACTTTTTTCCTTTCAGTGTGGAGAGGTAAGACTTCACAGTAAAATAAGAGAGAACAGAGACATACTGAGATCCATACCAGTTCTTCATAAGCACTGTCATCAGATCACAAGTATTCCTCTCACTGCACTGTCAAAGCTTTAACCCACAGCTACAACTAGTGGTTTCCTGGATAATGTCTAACCATGAGTTTCAATAATTGCAAAGGGGCAATCACTGTGTATCTTAACACTGGTTTTGAAGAGCAACAGTCTTCATCCTTTCCAATACACCTCCTCCACTCTTACAGGTAGCAAGGTAAATAAAATTAATTCCCTATTTCCTTCCCCATCATTCTTTTGCCTGTAACCTATTTGTTTCAGCACTTCACTTTATAGGAATAATTTCCCCCGAAATTACTAAGAGTTCAGGAAGATATAACTATTAAACACACTATGGAAGGCACTGATCACTACAAAAATTTCCACTGCTTGATTTCTATGAACTAAGGGGGAAAACTACAGCTACAGGAAAAAAGCTACTCTCTCCCTACAGACTGCTGATATTTTCTGTTGCTGTCTGAGATTAAGTGCATGCCCAAGGAAATCTCAAGTGAGAGAAACAGAAATGAAGGACATTTAGAGAAATACTATGCTGTGGTTAGAAGTGCAAAGACTAAACTCCTAGGACTGGGGGCTCCAGCCTCAAGCTAAACATTTCCACAATAGCTACCAACCTTCCCCTTAAAAAAAAAAAAAAAAGATTACGGGGGGGGAGGGGTGGACAGGGGACAGGAGACGGGAGAGGGGAGGAATGGGGGACACGGGACCACACACAAGATGAAGACGGGACTTGAGAACTGAAGGAACATGACATGGTAACTACTATTTACTGGGCAGTAGTAAGTACCAAAGGAGCTCTGGTGGCCTAGTGAATAAGGCATTTGGCTGCTAATCAAAAGGTCAGTGGTTCAAACCCACGACCATCTCAGCAGAAGGACGATGGGGCCATCTACTTCCTTAAAGATTTACAACCTCAGAAACCCAATGGGGGTTGTTAGGAGTTGGAGTCAACTCAGTGGCATTGAGTTTGGGTTTTTTTTTTTTTTTTGGTTTTTTTTTTAAGTGCCTAGCACAATATATACATTTACCTTAAGTCCTTACAAAATCTTTAAGAAAGGTGTTACCAATCCACAATCTACCTGAAACCTTTGTGGCCAGATATGTAGCGGAATTCAGAAAGATAATAAAATGTATATACAGAACAGGTCCCTGGGTGATGCAAATGGTTTGTGTTCCACTTGGCTACTCACCAAAAGTTTGGTAGTTCAAATCCATCCAGGCATCTACTTCCATAAGATTACAGTCATTTGGAGGGAAAATGTATGCACAGGCCCAGTCAGTATGGAGTAGCATCTCATAACTAATTATGATGATCACAATTTCGTTAATCTAACTCTCAGTACACGCTCCTCTCACTCAGTTGCCAAATTAATGTTCCAAAAATATTGCTTTCATCATGCCATATCTCTGCTTTTAACTATCATTAGCTTCACTGAATACAGGTAAGCTTTTGGACTCCATTGACAAATACTGTTGACCACACACACCTGCCCTATCTCTAACCTACATTCTTCAATTTCAGTCAGGTCAGTTTCCACAACGCACATTCAGTCTTAACTACATGATTTGGCCTTTCCCCAAGGAGCTCTGGTGGTACAGTAGTTAAGGCATCTGGCTGCTAACCAAAAGGTTGGTGATTTGAACCTACCAGCTGCTCCATGGAAGAAAGATGATATGATTTGCTTCCATAAAGATTTACAGCCTTGGAAACCCAAAAGGAGTCGCTATGAATCAGAATCGACTCCACAGCAATGAGTTTAGATATTTTTGGTTTTGGCCTTTCCCCATTAATCTAAATCTAATTACCGTTCTACGTATTACAACTTACCAAGTACTTTTGTCATGATTTTAAAAACCTTTCCCTCTAATCTATGTAG